ATACATTGAGTTTATGCTAGAATTTGAACATGATTCAACTAGAACATGCTAGAATTTGAACATGATTCTACTTAACATAATGGAGTATAAGTTGCCTTCACACTTACGGTTCTCTTAAAGAATTTTAATTTTATACATGAGCAAAACATGAGTAACTTAAAAAAATATAAGTGACTATAAGTATCACTGTCACAATCAGAGTACCAGGGCACAGCAGCCAAAAGCATTCAGTGTATTCCAATTCCTGATTTTGTGTATAGAGCTGGGTTTCTAAGAAACTTGAGACAGTAAAGTACACAAGTTGCTACCATTTTGGGGGCGGGGGAGTGTGTGTAAAAATAAAACCTTGAAAGCAAGGAAAATGAAACATATCAGAAGAGAGGATTTGAACAACCTTTTCAAGGATCCTCAACTCACTTAAGCTTTTTACAGAAAATACCCTCATGTGTTTTTGTTTCGACTCTGTGAGAATACCCAATTCAAAGCCTGTCGCAGAAGGGCAGAAAGACTCACTATGATACGAAATTTAAAAAGTTGAAAAAAAGCCACATTAAAATTACCTGAGTCATTTTTGAGGACAACTTAAGTCACGTTGCTGAAAGTTTCCTAAGCATGCAGTAGTATTTCCCTGAAATGAGATTCCTGTGAAGGAATCTTGGGTAATTCTGAATTACATTATAGCTCCATTTATCCCTGACCTGCAACTTTCATATGTATCAAGCTCAGAAACAACTCTGGCCCTAAATCAAAAACGATTTTATAAAAGGTAGTTTGGAGAACAATGCTAGCTACCACAGCAGTGTATTGGCAGAGGCAAACTACATTGCATAGCTGGTTTCTGCCTGAGAGCCACCAGGGCTGGAATTTGCCACAGGATTATGAGGGGGACGTGAGCAAATAAGAGAAATAGCGAAAAACTGAAGAAAAATAAATGAGTTAAATGAATTATTCATCCCTTTCGATATAATGATACCATGCTATGTTTACATTAAATGTGCTAATTTTGTGTAGAAGTGTCTTCAATTTGATTTGAAAATAGAGTAACAAAGAGGAGTAACAGCTTAAAAAGTCAGTGTCTGGAGTCTAGAGGTGGGTTTTGACTCCTTGATTTATCACTTAAGAGCTGTGCTACTTCAGGCAGGTTACTTCATGTTTCTAAGCATCAGTCTCCTCTTGTAATACAGGTATGAGAGCATCTTCCTTACAGAGTCATGATGCTTAAGTGAGGGAATAGGTAGAAACAGATTAGCACAGTAAATGGTCCACCCTTATGTGTTCAACAAATATTAGCCATTATCATGGACTTGTTGCCTTTCTCTTTTGGGTAAGGGGGTTAGTAAAAGAGAATAGCAATTGTTTACCTCTCTTACAAAGCTTGTGAAATATTTTTAACCTGCTTAGGCAATGTCATTTGGCCATGCTTTCTATCAAAAATTGCTATGAAATGCAAAACAAATTGATTTTGGTAATAAAACTGGACTTCAGAAAATTGACATGGTAAATTTTAGCAGTAATAGAAACAATGGTAGATTTTTTATTTAAAAAAATACCTATTTTGGGAGGCCAAGGCAGGTGGATCATGAGGTCAGGAGTTCAAGACCAGCCTAGCCAAGATGGTGAAACCCCATGTCTGCTAAAAATACAAAAATTAGCCAGATGTGGTGGTGCATGCCTGTAATCCCAGTTACTTGGGAGGCTGAGGCAGAAGAATCGCTTGAACCTGGGAGGCGGAGGTTGCAGTGAGCCGATATCACGCCACTGCACCCCATGCTGGGAGACAGAGCAAGACTCCATCTCAAAAAAAAAGAAGCATTTATTCAGCAATAGCTGAATTCTAACAACTTCTTACATTATTTCTTTAAATTATCACAATAACAAGGGCCAAGTTTACTCTTGTGTTTGAGTAGAAGGATTGCATTCTATTTGTCCCTTTGAACTCTAAGATCAGGAAATAAAAAGCCAGAGACTTTTTGGTGAGCATGGGAACAGAGCTGTATATCTAATTCGGTAGCCGGAATTTTGGGTAACAACACCTGGCCTCTGATGGCAACAGCTATTCCAGCCACCAACAAAGTCTCTAAGCCTTCCACAGTCATCACATCTGGGAGCTTTACAGTGATCTTGCAAACCATCAGTGATAAAAGGCATGTTATCACTGATGCAGAATTATAAAAGTACTTTTGGACACCTGGCTAGCTGCTTGGCACTAGTACTCCCCTAACTTAAGGCTGTTTCTCTAGACCTTGCTCACGGAGCAAATCCTAAGTAAAGCTTTTATTAGGAGGTTTCTGTCTTTCCCATCCTAGTAAACAAATTATAAATTTGTTAAGCAAAATATTCGATATCACTGCATATAAAACTTAATGATACACTGCAATTTTAGACTGTTTGTCTTATGTACCCAACCCCCGCAATTATTCTTTCACATGCATGGGACTCCTGAGAAAACCCAGACCTTGCAGTAAGTTTTTCAGGATTTGATTCAGCCTATACTCAATTTTTGTCATCTAGAGATTCGATAAATGGTCATAATTTTTATGCAAATTATTTATTTTTCAATTTTTGAATCCATATACTAACTTGCATTTTATTTGAAAAATGTAAATGAAATAAATGTAAAATAAATAGATTGACAGTTGAACAGGTAAATAAAGGTCTAAAACTGGTAGATCAACCAAGTCTTCCAATGGTTTTTAAATACAGCCATTAGAATTTGTTTCAGGCTAAAACTGGGCATTCAAAGCTGATGGTGGAGATGGATATTGCTATTCCAAAGAGCTGTTTATTGGTTAGGCTGCTTCTTACATATAAAGCAGTGGGAAAAAAAGTGAAAAGAAAACACTTTCTCAGGCTTCTCATGATTTTTTAATCTATTCTGTGCAAAAATATGGCTTACAATTTATTGCTGAAATATAGGAACCTGAAGATTCCCAGTCCACACTTTTAAATTTAACAAGTATCTCAATTACTTGCAAAGTGATCACTTCCAGAACTTTACTGCATGCCAGGGATGCCCTTCCACCTGTTCAGAGAAATTCTCCCATGCCCAACTGAGAACATAACATGACAATTCATTGTTTTTGTTTCATAAATAGATAAACCAGTAATTTGTATCATTTTTCTTCCATGAGGCAAGAAGCTACAACAATCATTACTTTATAATAATTTTGATTTTACTAAATTGTTTTTGAAATGAACAATAGGAGATGACAAACCCATGGTTTGCATCAGATACTAACCATTTCCACCTGGAAGGTTTTTTTTTCTGTACTTCAACAAAGGCATGAAATAACATTTAAGATTCTAGAGAATGTTATTTTCTTAGTGTTGCTTAAAGTTTATTTTTTTTTCCAAATAACAAAAGCATTTTCTAACACAGTTAAAACTTAACCAGTGTGTTTAAACAACAAGTGGATCTAACAGTTTTCCTCTGAGCCTTTGATCTTGATATTGATCATCTTTCCTCACACATTTCTGTGTCTAAGAAAGGAAGAATATAATGGGTGCAAATACATTTCTTTGAATCAAAGTTCTATATCATAATAATTTTTCTCTATTACAGATAGAGGTGTTGTTGATATAAAAGTTCCAGATGAGTGTCTACCAGCCCAGAATAAGGGTCCTGAAGGTTTGGATTTTTTTTAAAAATAAAAATGCTTGTTGGAAGTTTGCTACATCTTTTCTTGTTGTTTTTCTTCTAAAAAAAAAAATCAGTAAAACATTTCAGTCTATGACTGTTAGTTAACTGTGCTCTGTGTTTATAAAACTGTATAAGCTACATTTCATTGGGAGGTTAGAATGCAGTATAGAGGGTTGGAGACTGAAGCACATTTTTATCTCACTTTGAATTTTGGATTACAAAATGACAGATCAGACCATACAATGAGAGTCATAGTCCACTAATCAAATGATCCTTTAAAAATATATATTTTTTTCCTTTCTCACTTACTCTCATGTTTGCTAAGAGCCAACTAATTCCTAAGTGATGACTTTTGATAAATAAACTCCAGAATGACAAGATTTATCTATGACAAGTATGTTCAGCAGCCAGGACTCATTAAGCTCTTATTGCCTGTTGTGCCAGAGACACTGTTCTGAGAGTAGCTTCTAAATTCCAGGGTAAATTAATTAATATATTGATATAAATGGTCATCTAGATATTTTGCAGCATTTCAAGAAATGGACATTTAACAGAGTAATGGGTGTTCGATTTGCAGTTGACTCTCGTTAATCAAATTGGCTATTGAGTTCTCACTTTAGAACTCTGTGGTTTTGTTTCTCTTGCTGTACTTCTATTATTTTCTATATGAAAACGGACTTATTTCTAAGTACCATGAGGGGAAGATAATGAATTTGTGTTCTTAATTTGACATCTTTTGTTAACTTCTGAAACACTTCAAGTTCCGATTCCCAACTTGTGGCTTTAGAAATTGGTCACCTCACACATTTCTTCATCTGGTTATTTTGCTGAGATTGTGTACAGCAATTATTTTTGAAAATAAAGTTAATGTCCATAAACAATGCTATATATATCTCCAATCTGCTATAGGTAAATTGAGCATTGAAGCCCTCCAATGTTATCACAATTTCTTCAGTTGAGTTGAGTCATTACAGTATAATCAGGAAAATTCAGCCACAATCTTCAGGCATCTTGACTCTTTTAAAGCAAAAATAATGCCTTCACTTCTTTTCTTCTGCTAAGTAAAGACTGGTCAGGAAATAATTCAACTACATATAATTAATTTAGGAGACCTCAATTATATCCTTATGTTCATTGATTTTTGGTATTCTTGAATAGCATGACAGCAAACCAAAAATGTGTGCGATTCTATATGCCACAAATTCCCCAGGCTTCAGATTGAAACTCTTAAGTTGTTTTGACTAGGCAACTAACAGCAGTTTAGATAGTTCTGTACAAATTTAGAGATGCAAAGCCATGACCGTATTCCAGCACATTCTTCTTGTCAGAACCATTTAAATCACCATCTTACACAAGTACATATTGAAACTCAACTTTAAGTGTTTTATTTTTATGTACATTTCATTTTGTCCAGAAATAAAATATCTAAATACAGACAGACTGTAATGTTGTATATGTATAGCTTTCAACAATACTTGATCTGAATAAATGCTCTGTACATTGTTTGTCTTTTTAATGGAGTTCACAGCTACATCGATAAAATGAATTCCTCATATCCTTTTTTCTTAACCAATAACAAGCAGAGAGACAAGTACAAGTTAATATTAATAAGCAGCTCAAATAACACTTGGTTAAACTATGTACAATACAAACCATTCATACAAATGAAGACTAGGATATTGAATTTGTTACAATATGTGTAGTAAAGATAAGACAGACACTTATAACTTACATGGTGTCTGCCAGGCGTTTCCCTTCTTATATAATGATCAGAACTTATTTTAAGCAGCTTTAGCTGGTCTCAACTTCACAAAAGTCCAATGATTGGTGATGAAAGTTGTTATACCAATGTCTGCCCACATGTAAATTCCAAATGTTTGCTCATCTTTACTGAGAACAGGCCCCTTTCATAGAAAAAAGAGCCATCTTGGACCACCCTGAATGTGCCTACTGTATGCTGGAAAAAAGTTACTACATTTTGTTGTGTTTGTAAAATAAAGAATACTGAGCTCTAAAGACACATTTTTCCATTTTAACAAGCAGATACTCCTACAATAGTATTTACCAGTACAGCTACTCCAAGCAGTAGGAATGCATGAGTGGGGATTATTGATTAGCATGTACTCAAGACTTTAAAAGAGATTTCCATAACAGCGAGTGTTAGAAACATTCTCCGTCTAGTTAATCCTTCTGTTTGATGATAGTTGATCCCTGAACCATTATGAGTCAGACAATGAAAGCCCTCTCAACAGGAATCACGACAGATGCAAGCTGAAATGTGCATGACAGTGTGTTTGTGTACCTCTATATGTGAGAGCATGTCTTCAGGTGTGACTTCAAAACCTGTGATGATTTACAATTATACTGAGGGATGAAGCTGACTGGGCAGAAATTACATCAGATTGTTTTCCACTAGTGTATTTGCAGCCAGTTGACAAGAGCAGCAGTGTAGACACATTCCAGGCAACAGATGTGACCTTCTTCTTTGAGGTATCAGCCCTGTCATATGACCTTTAATTCCTCAGGCTTTAGTCTCACCCCCATGTTCACCTTCATCCCGAGGGAAAGTAAGGTGTGTCACTGTGGTAGTTGTAGTCAGGGCACACTTTCTGTACCAGTTTATAATCTGTACTATAAAAGGAAATGTAAATACAGATCACCTTAAAGGGCTTGGAGCAGAGCCAGGATACATGACTTTGGGTCTGCTCCTGGTAACAGGTTTTTGAAGGGTCATAGTTGCAGAGTGTGTTCTTGGTAGCCTTGTCAACCTTTTCATATTCAATGCGACAATTGAAAGACTTGGAATCTTTGGCATCAATCACAGTTTGTTGTGCCAAGTCAAATTCCACGATTTTTGTAGGGGGTACCAAGCTGACAGATACATTCCCTTGACCAGTTGAATTATGCCTGAAATAAACACTAAATGTTCCATTGCCGTGATCTACAATTTTCCCAGTTATCAACAGATTCAGCTTCACTGTTTTGATGTTGGAATGAAAATCGCCCCATCCAAACATTTTCTTAAACTTGCCCGTTTTAACAATGGGCCTTCTCTTGGCCCTGGGTCGAGGCTCTTGAAGGTCTGTGGAGTTCCTCAGCCAGTCCCAGAGGTCTTGCTCAGAATAAGGTTCTGGGGTGTCATATCTCAGGTCCAAATCTGTATCATTCTCTTTGCCACGAAAAGTCTGTGACAAGAGTCGACTGATAGACAAGTCTTTGCCGCTTTCTGTCCATATATGCTTTAGTGTGGATTTGCTGCTTCCTGATTTCAGAAGTTCTGACTTTCCACCGTTCGTTAAATTGGCACATGTGACCTGAAAACAGAACGGAAAAATGGCATTTACATCTCTGTATCTGAGAATAACACTGAATGCATAAATCCAAGCCTTCTCTGAGTCTCAGAATTAAATAATTACACTTTTTTTTAAAAGCACCGCATCTGAGAAGAACACCCAAAGCACAGATTCAAGCCCCCTCTCCCAGAGTCTCAGAATTAAATAATTACATTTTAAAAGCACCATCAGCATCTGGCTAATATTTATTAATATGTGATAAAATACTTCTATTTTTGTGTAACAATGGAAGAAGGGACATGTGGGTGGAAAAACTACTAAATATGACCTAAAAATGATATAAAACCATTGGTTAATGGAAGAAAAGGCCACCCAACATGAATAAAGCAAAGTGAATTCAAATTTAAACCAAACTAATTACTTCTTAGCAAAAAAATCCAAACTTTTGAAATCACATTTTATAAATCATTACATTCTTTTTCTATTTCAAAATTACCCTAAGCTTTAAAACTGTATGATTCTCTGGACAGAGAGGAAGACAGCACACACCAGAGCCTGTTGAGGGGTGGAGAGGTGAGGGGAGGGAACTTAGAGAACGGGTCAATAGGTGCAGCAAAACACCATGGCAAATGTATACTTAGGTAACAAACCTGCATATTCTGCACATGTATCCCATTTTTTAGAAGAAATAAATATAAACTGTGTGATTCTCAGACATATGTCAACTGACACCCTTTAGACTATTTAGTTATCCATATTACAGTCATATTAGAAAAGTTAGTTTTGCAAAGGGACTCCAGTATATTTTAACTGATCAAAACAATGTTTACTACCACCTATAATAAGCAAGGAATATATTGAATAAGACAATTTTTTACCTTGCAGAGCTTATCATGTGGTCTAGAAAAGTGACTTTTAGTAATTGCCAAGTCTAGAGAAACTAACATGCGGTCAATGACTGAGAGGTCACTTCAGGGTGGATTATGAGAGTCACATAAAGACACTGTTCTCCTAGGACTCCAAGATTATTTCTTAGGAAAGAATTGTATCTCAAACTGCACAGAGATACGGAAGAACCAGTGACCACAATGACTACATTGGCCCATAGTTAAAGCAGTAACTTCTTATCCTGACGTGGAAGAATCAAGGACAGGAGCTAACAGAACTAAAGACCTACAGGAAATAAAATAGCCAATACCAGTAAACCACTCAATATGCGGACTTGCTGTTTTAAGGTACTGCTGTTGAATGGAGTCCCCAGCCACCCATTAAAAAGCCACATTTCACAATAAACTTATATTGCCATGCCCCTAGAGAACCAGTTCTGAGTCTTGTCTCAGATACCAGCCTGATTACTACTCGGCAGCTTCATTGGACCCTCCAGTCTTCTTCCAAACTGTTCTTAAAATGAATGGTCATTCCTAGAAAGCTTTTTAAAATTCAGGCCCATTAGGAATTATAGCTGTGTTCCAGAGACACTTCCCTAGACTTAGCTGTGTGGGACTCATGTTAGGATACAAATGTGACCTGAAAATAGCATTTTAGTCAACCACTTGTTGCTGAAAGGATGTATTCTCAATCTCTGGGGAGCAAGACCATAAATTTTAGAGCCAGACTCCCTGGAATTCCCTCCCAGCTGACACTGCCAACCTGTGTGCCCTTGGTCAAGTTAACTTCCCTCTGCCTCTGTTTTCGGAATCTGGAAAATGTAGGCAATATGATATCTAATTCATAAGTTTGTGAGGATTGAATGAGTTAAAACAAGTAAAACCTTTAGAACAGTGGCTAGCGTTTGGAGAGGGCTCAATAAATGTAGCTATTATTGTGAATACCAAGCTGATGTTTGAAGACAATTAGAGAAAGAAGCCAAATAATACATATGGAGATCTTGCCTGGGAGAAGTTTTTCCCAGGATTACACAGCCAAGTGCTGTGGGACATGGATGTAGAGAACCTTGGTCATCTAAACTAGAACAAAAGCTCTTAGATCTTGTAATCCTTCTTTTCAAGCCAGGAAGTAGTCTCCTCTTTGCCCTCTTCAAATTGAGGTAATGTGAGTGTAGTTGGACTATTCTCGCCCAGAAAGAATACCAGCTGAAGCTGTAATCTTCCTAATAATGCTGAGCTTAAAAACCCTGCAAGTTTGTCTCCATGAAAATTCATTGCATCGGAGATAACAGGCAACTTCATCATGCGTTCATATGACAGCACCCTGAAAAGTCAAAACTGAAACTTTGGGTAGGTAACCAAAATACTGTCAACTCTTTCAGGCTGCTAGCTTGAGTACAGTTGCATCGGCTGTGATCCCCGAGGCAATGGCAATGGCTTCATGGAAAGATGCAGAGGGTCATTGTGTGCAGAGATGAAGGAAGAATAGATAACACTGACCAATGGAGAATCAGACTCTGGATTATTGTGGGGGCAAGGTCACATCTAAGAGAAACACGGACCAGACTCGTGTATGCAGTCAGTCTTTAAAGTGTCAGCTACCCACAAAGAGCAAACACCCTGATGTGGAGTCAAATATGGCTATCAGATGGCCATTACTGGTCTTGAGGAAAATATAGGAAATTGAGATAAGGTTATCTTTGCTGCCAACGTTTTTTTAGTTTTAAGTGCTTCCCCGTCACTTTTGCTCAACCCTTGCTTTGGTATCTCTTCTTTCCCCTATGTACCCAAACTCTTTCCTGTTTACAGATTTTCCTCATACCAAAATATTATCCCAGAAATGGACCACATTCAAATAGTAGAAATGACTAATAACAGCAAAATGGTTGCTTTAGCACAAGTAATTTTTAATAAGAATTAAATATTAATTTCTAATAGGATAAAATTGAGAGGAAAAATATTCCTTGAGAGAAGAGGATTATGTATAGGAATATATAAGTTTTCTTAAGAAAAAGGCATTAAATTTCCAATCTATCCTGACAACAAAGCCATTCCATTAAGGAAAAAAATATTTACTCTCACATCAAAAGTATAATCCCTAGCAGTTCCAGAGTTAGTATTTTTCATTACAATTATAAAACTAATAAAAACAACTACAGCTCTCCCACTAATTTTCTGAAGGTACTGCATTTCTAAAGATACTATTTTTCTATAACACAGAGTAGCTATAATGTAAAATTTAAAACTAACATTAATCAGTAAAAATAATACATACCTTTGGATTTGGGAGAGTGTGTGTGTTTTAATAAAATATAATTGATTAAACATCTGAATCTGCACTTGCCTAGTTACATAAGCATTGCCCTTATCACAGTTCCTACATTTATGCCTCAGTATAAAACAAATACATATGTATCCTCTTCTCTTGTTTTTGCCAGGAATTATCTAGACAGTTTCCCATTGTTTGTGTGGCAAAAAGAATAAATACAGGCATGCATTTAGCAGTGACTTAGTACTTATATCTCAGCATAAGCACAGGGCTATACTGAGATGCTTTCATGATGCACTGGCTAATGAAGCAGTAATGAAATTATCCCAAAGAAGGAGGAGAAGAGGGATTTACAGTTCAATTTACCAGTAGCATAGGGGGAATGAAAGGAAAACATGTGGAAGTAGTGAATATGGTTTCAAGAAGGAAGAATCAATCTATTCAAAAAGATGCTAAGACTCCTCTGACAGGCAAACAAACCTCTGATTTTCAGGTAGAATAGAAATTGTTTAGTTCTAAATTATATTATCCACAGCTGTAGTAATTATGAGCATGCACTCTGGAGCCAGACTGCCTGAATCCCAGTCCAGGCTCTGATCTTTTAACAGCTGTGTGATGTGGGCAAGTTACTTAACTTGTTTAAGTTTCACTGTTTCTCTCTTCTAGGGAATAGAAGAATAATATCAATCTTCTTCACAGGGCTGTTATGAGGATTAAATAGGGCACTCCATTTAAATCACTAAAGACAGTACCTGGAACACTGTTCAATATTAGTAGCCCTAGCTGTTGTCACCAGATATTTTTACCTCTGAATCTCACTACATAATATTTTATGTAAATTATTAATTTGTAATTTGATTTAAAAGCATAAAGCATTCTTGAAAGAAAATCTCCCTTCAATATAACCACAAACTTAAAGCAAACAATTCAAAACAAAGCATGCTGTGGGGGAAAGCAGGGAGAAGAAAATGGGGAGAAAATGAGCATAAAGTTTTAATCAGGTTGAAATAAATTCAGGAGGTCTGCTGTACAACATTGTACTTATAGCCAGTACTGTATTTTACAGTTTAAAATTTTAAGAGGGTAGAACTCACATTAAGTGCTTATACCACAATAAAATATTTTTTAAAATTTATATTAAGGATAGCATCGATATATATTGAACTCTAAACAAACATGAATTGAAATGCTGAAAAGGAAAGAAAGCAAGCATATATTTTTGAAAGTGCTGCTGTGACTATCTAAAAAATACGGCAAGTAAAGTAAGTGGTTGAACTCAAGTTAACAAAGGATGAGCATAAATTTAGCTATTAAATAGCTTAGCTTCCAAATGCAATGAATTATTTGCCTTCAGTGATATAATGGGAACGGCTTCAAGTGGTGCTGTCAGGAAGCCTCTCTGGAACATCTCAGTGTGGGTAAAGAATCAAAGCAGGTTTCAGCTGTAATCATCATTAACACTGTCTTAAATATTCCTATTCCCTCAGTCCTTGCTTTTTTCTTAGATTGGGAAGGGAGTAGGGCAATGTCTAAAAGAGAATGTAAATCTGGAAAAACCAGGAAGGTTCCTTAGCAAAGTCCCCAGAGCTGTTCAATACTAACAACTCCAATTTCTGTTGTCTTATTTACAAAATAGCTGTATAGTGAGACTACATGAATATTGAGTGGAATAAAGAAATGCAAACATAAATGGCACATGGTCCTGGCTCTCAAGAAGTTTATAGTTTACTGGAGGCATCAATTAAGCCATCACAGTGTGATGCGACCAGCACTATGTGTAACATTCCAGCAGTCATCGTCAAAGTTGAAAGGTAGAGAAGGTATAACAAAAGAGATGATCCTTAGATGTAGCAGATAAAAGAGGCTTGGTAGTC